CCAGGACGAAGAGACCCGAACGACTCACACCACGAAGAGCCCGAACGACTCACACCAGGAAAAGGGCCCGAACGACTCACACCAGGACGAGAAACCCCAAACGACTCAAACCACGAGGAACGCTTTCTCTCCCTCCTCCTCCGCCTCGTCCTTCTCCCCCCACAAGGAGGATGTACAAGGAGGCGGGAGGAAGGAGGAACAGGGGAGATATGCGGGGCCAAGCGGACACACGCCTGAAAAACACGATTGTCGGCATGTTTCGCGAGAGTTGCTGCTGTGAGATGGGCTGGTGGGGATACGCGAAGCGTAAAGAATTAGGGCTTAATAGTTATAGGATTAAGAATTTACGGTTTAGGGTCTACCAAGCTTGGCCACGATTACACCTTCACCGCGAACCCACCTGCGGTGGCCGTCGCTCCCACCCGCAAACCACCCCACCATAAAGATCATCTCTCCCCTCGTTCTAACCACATCGAATACAACGTCGACGACGACGACGACGACGACGACGACGGCGACGACTGATGTGCGATCCAGTTGGCACGCGAGTGCTCTAACGGGCCGGAAGAGTCGGGCAGGAAATGGACGTCCGGAGATGGCCAGTTTAAGGGCGAAGCCTTCGTCCCAGAAGGCGAATGGCACGGCACTGTTGATGTACGACGTGCCGCCGCGTTCTTGATTTTTCTCCCTAACAGAAATAATTCGCTGAGCAATTAATGCTGTAGCTGTACTGTAGGGTGCTACAGTAAATAATTCGCTGAGCAATTAATGCTGTAGCTGTAGCTGTAGCTGTAGCTGCGACGAAGCTTTTGCGCGGCGTTTTTTCTGTTTTTTACGACGCCGGGAGGTCTGGGCCAGGAAGGAAAAAGGAGTTAGAAAGGAATTTGATAAGGGATTTCAAAAGTTAGAAAGGAATTCCGTTTTTTGCGTTAAATTGGTTTTTTTACGACGCCAGGAGGTCTGGGCCGGGGAAGAAAAAGGAGTTAGAAAGGAATTTGATAAGGCATTTCAAGAGTTAGAAAGGAATTTCGTTGTTGGGGTGTTTTTTGTTTTTTATATATATAATAATAATGATAATAATAATAATACTAATAATAATAATAATAAAATAATATATAAAAAAAAAAAAAAAAAAAAAAAAAAAAAAAAAAAAAAAAAAAAAAAAAAAAAAAAAAAAAAAAAAAAAAAAAAAAAAAAAAAAAAAAAACGCCGAGATGTCTGGGCCAGGAAGGAAACCACGGAGTTAGAAAGGAAGTTGATAAGGAATTTCCAGAGTTAGAAGGGGATTCTGTTTTGGGTGTCGTTTTTAAACAAAAAAGAAACGACGCCGGGAGGTCTGGGCCAGGAAGGAAAAAGGAGTTAGAAATGAATTTAATAAGGAATTTCAAGAGTTAGAAAGGAATTTCGTTTTTGGTGGTGGTTTTTTGTTTTGTTTTTGTTTACGACGCCGAGAGGTCTGGGCCAGCAAGGAGAAAGGAGTTAGAAAGGAATTTAATAAGGCATTTCAAGAGTTAGAAAGGAATTTCGTTTTTTTGAAATTGTTTTTTGTTTTGTTTTTTTTACGACGCCGAGAGGTCTGGGCCAGGAAAGAAAAAGGAGTTAGAAAGGAATTTAATAAGGAATATCAAGAGTTAGAAAGGAATTTCGCTTGTTTGGATTATTTTTGTTTTGTTGTTTAAAACGACACCGAGAGGTCTGGGCCAGGAAGGAAAAAGGAGTTAGAAAGGAATTGAATACAGAATTTCAAGAGTGAGAAAGAAATTCATTTTTGGCGGCTGTTTTTTTGTTTTGTTTTTTTTACGACGCCGGGAGGTCAGGGCCAGGAAGGAAAAAAGGAGTTATAAAGGAATTTATCAAGGAATTTCAAGAGTTAGACAGAAATTGTGTTGTTTTGGTTGTTTTTTGTTTCATTTTTTACAACGCCGAGAGGTTTGGGCCAGGCAGGAAAAAGGAGTTAGAAAGGAATTTAATAAAAGAATTTCAAGAGTTAGAAAGGAATTTCGTTTTTGGTGGTGGTTTTTTGTTTTGTTTTTTACGACGCCGAGAGGTCTGGGCCAGGAAGGAAAAGGAATTAGAAAGGAATGTAATAAGGATTTCCAAGAGTTAGAAAGAAATTTCGTTTTTTTGAAATTGTTTTTTTCTTTTGTTTTTTTACGACGCCGAAACGTCTGGGCCAGGAAGGAAAAATGAATTAGAAGGGAATTAAATAAGGAATTTCAAGAGTTAGAAAGGAATTTCGTTTTTTGGGGCTGTTTTCTGTTTTTTTTCGCGCCGAGAGGTCTGGGCCAGGAAGGAAAAAAGGAGTTAGAAAGGAATTTAATAAGGAATTCCCAGAGTTAAAAAGAAATTTCGTTTTTGGTGTTGTTTTTTTTTGTTCTGTTTTTTTCACGACGCCGAGGGGTCTGGGCCAGGAAGGAAAAAGGAGTTAGAAAGGAATTTAATAAGGAATTTCAAGAGTTAGGAAAGAAGATAGTTTTTGGTAGTTGTTTTTTTTTGTTGTTTTTTTTCACGACGCCGAGAGGTCTGGGGCAGGAAGGAAAAAGGGGTTAGAAAGGAACTTAATAAGGAATTTCAAAAGTTAGAAAGGAAGTTCGTTTTGTTGGGGGCTGTTTTTTTGATTTGTTTTTTTACGACGCCGACAGGTCTGGGCCAGGAAGGAAAAAGGAGTTAACAAGGAATTTAATAAGGAATTTCAAGAGTTAGAAATGAATTTCGTTTTGGTGGTTGGTCTGTTTTGTTTTTTTTACGACGCCGAAAAGTCTGGGCCAGGAAGGAAAAAAAGGAGTTAGAAAGGAATTTAATAAGGAATATCAAGAGTTAGAAAGGAATTTCGTTTTTCGGGGTTGTTTTTTGTTTTGTTTTGTTTTTACCAAAATGCTCTTGGCAGTATTTCGAGCCTACATTATTAATTCCCGACACAATTATTGATGTAATTGCATACAGTGCGCACTACAGAAATAATTCCGAAAACAATTAAAGCTGTACTGTAACCAAAAAAATCAATGGTAGGCGTATCCCGCCACTGTGTTGTAGCATGGCATGGCTCAGCATGGGTCCCCCAAAAAAGGGGAGTCCTATGTGTTGTCTTGTATTGTATTTGTCCTAAGCCTATACCGCCACTGTGCTATAGCATGGCATAGCACGACGTGTGTCCCCAAAAGGTGGGGACCCCTTTGTGCGTGTTGTCTGGTATTGTTTCTTGCCCCGGGCCTACACCGCCACTGTGCTGTGACATGGCATACCATAGCACGGATCTTCAAAAAGTTAAGACCTCTATGTGCGCGTCTTCTTTCACTGTTACTGGCCCTGGGCCTATTCCGGCACTGTGTTATAACATGACATAGCAAAGCAAGTGTCCCCAAAAAGTGGGGAGCCCTATGTGCGTGTCGTCTCTTCACTGTTACTTGCCCTAGCCCTATCCCGCCACTGTGATACAGCATGACATCATGGGCCCCCAAAAGTAGGCTCCGTCGGCCGGACCTGACCCGTTCCGTCCGTTGGGGTCGGCCTGCCCAACTCTTCCCGTCCGTGAGAACACTCGCGTGCCAACTGGATCGCACATCGTCGTCGTCGTAGACAAATAACAATAAAAGACAACGCACATAGGGGTCCCCACTTTTTGAATACCCATGCCTTGCTATGCCATGCTACAGCATAGTGGCGGGATAGGCCGAAGGCAAGTAACAGTAAAGTACGACGCGCACATGTGTGCACAGAAAAGCATTGACAAGAAGAACATAGAATGACAAACGAAAAGGCGGAGAGGGGCGGGAAGATAGCTGGCAATCAAGACACACCCGAGAGAACTGTTAAACTTCAACACCCGTGTGCCCCATACAACAAAACGGTTCGGGCAGACGGCCCCTAACGAGCACGACGGATCGGGTCGGGTGTTGGCACGCGAGTACCCTAACGGACGGGACGGGTCGGCCAAGCAAAACGAACAGGACGGGTCGTGTCGGGCGACAGAGATTATGCACGCATGCGCAGCAAGTGCTATTTTTTCAAAAGTAAGATCTGCTCGCAACGGGGGCCGGGCACTTTGTGGGGTAATGCAAATGATTCCGCAGGCATGCTCAGCAAGTGCTATTTTTTGCAGTGGATGGAGCCGGTTTACATAACCGGTCGCAACGGGGGCCGGGCAGTTTATATTGTAAAATACTACAGATTCTGCACGCATGCTCAGCAAATGCTATATTTTACCGTAGATGGAGCCGGTGTACATAACCGGTCGCAACGGAAGCCGGGCACTTTGTAGTGTAAAATACAAAAGATTCTGCACGATGCTCAGCAAATCCTATTTTTTACAATAGATGGAGCCGGTGTACATAACCGGTCGCAACGGGGGCCGGGCACTTTGCAGTGTAAAATACAAGAGATTCTGCACGCATGCTCAGCAAATGCTATTTTTTTACCGTAGATGGACCGGGGTCGCAACGGGGGCCGGGCACTTTGTAGTGTAAAATAAAAGAGATTCTGCACGCATGCTCAGCAAATGCTATTTTTTACCGTAGATGGAGCCGGGTTGCATAACGGCCGGTTTTATGGTAATTATGGTTTAATTATTATAGGCTTAGAAATTTAGGGTTTAGGTGATGCGTCGGCGATGCACCAGCGATGCACCAGCGATGCATCGTCGACGTGGGCGGTGCATCGGCGCCGTCGACGCGAAGCAAGTCGGGCTCCACACCGAGCCGCATCGGCGATGCATCGGCGGCGCACTGCGACCCTCCGACGCCATCGAACC